AAAATTTCTGAGATGTGTCCAGATGATCCTCTAGTGTTGGAATATGTTGACTACATTCTTAAATTTTGTAAGTAGCATTTAATTTTTACTATAATAGAATGTATTGCAATACAGTAGTTCAGTAATGCTGTACATTATATACGTTGTCTTCAACTGAGGTAGGGTGCCCCCAAAGAAAGAGGAAACACATTCATCATTCATTTAATTGTTGTCTTGCTTGAATGTGATGACATCACATTTCATACGGCCGTCTGAGCTGCAACATCTTCATCTTCACCCCTTGAAGATAAATGGTACAAAATACTGATACAATGAATAAAGACACAAAGTAGCTACAGTGTGGTCCTTTACTGACGATGTTTCATCCACACAGTGGGCTTTATCAGGTCACAAATGGATCCACCTGAGGAGAGAGGATGTGAATATATACAGTGGACCCCTGGTATTCGATATTAATCCGTTACTGAGAGCTCATCGAATACTGAAAATATCGAAAAGCGAATCAATTTTCTTCATAAGAAATAATGGAAATCAAGTTAATTTACCACATGAAATATTAAGTTTAATTCAATAGAATAATTACAATAACAACAGTAACAATAGAATAATTGACATTTACCTTTAATGGAGAACTGGTGATGATTGATGGGATGGGAGGAGGGGAGTGTGGATGGTGTTAGTGTCTAATTAAGGTCTAATTTCTTTTCAATTAGGTAATTTTTCACAGTGGGGGCAAATGCATGGTGTAACCAGTCATAGAAAAAGTCCATAGTGACCCATGCCTTACTGTTTGCCCTCCACAGCACACACAAATTAACCTTGAGGACATTGTTTTTCCTGAACACTCTGGGAGTTTCAGAGTGATACACCAATAAAGGCTTCAAGTTGCAATCACCACTAGCATTGGCACACATCAACAGAGTAAGCCTGTCTTTCATAGGTTTATGTCCTGGGAGTGCCTTTTCCTCCTGAGTAATGTAGGTCCTGCTTGGCATTTTCTTCCAAAACAGGCCTGTGTCATCGCAATTAAACACTTGTTCAGGTTTAAATTCTTCACTGTCTATGTAATCCTTGAATTCCTTCACATATTTTTCATCTGCTTTTTGGTCCGAACTGGCAGCCTCACTATGCCTAATCACACTATGTATGCCACTACAATTCTTAAATCTTTCAAACCAACCTTTGCTGGCCTTAAATTCACTCACATCAGCACTAGTTGCAGGCAATTTCTTTACCAAATCGTCACGCAACTGCCTAGCCTTTTCACAAATGATCGCTTGAGAGATGTTATCTCTTGCTATCTGTTTTTTATTTATCCACACCAATAATAGTCTCTCAACATTTTCTAACACTTGCAGTCACTGTTTTGTAATCACAGTTGCACCTTTTGCAAAAACAGCTTCCTTGATTGCCGTTTTCCTGGTCACTATAGCAGAGATGGTTGATTGGGGTTTACTATACAACCTGACCAGCTCCAAAACACGCACTCCACTTTCGTACTTTGCAATTATCTCTTTCTTCATTTCAATAGTCATTAGCACCTTTTTTCTTGAAGGGTTGGCACTAGAAGCTTTCTTGGGGCCCATGGTGACTTATTTTGCAGAAACAAGCACCAAAAACAGTGATAAAATGGATGTACCGAATGTATCCTTAGATGCACGCACACTGGCTGGCTTGTAAACACTGGCACACACAGGGCAGTTCAGGCCACACGTGGACACGTCTCGTATGAATCGCATCGAATACCGGATTTTCAATCGGATACCAAGGCGAAATTTTTGCGATAAAATGCATCGAATACCGGATTTATCGAATACCGATGCCATCGAATGCCAGGGGTCCACTGTATAGCGGATATGAGAGTGACTACATAGTAGGTTGGTAAACAGCAACCATCCAGGGGGGTACTACCGTCCTGCCAAGTGAGTGTGAAATGAAAGCCTGTACATAATTGTTTTACATGATGGTAGGATTGCTGGTGTCTTTTTTCTGTCTCTTAAACATGCAAGATTTCAGGTATATCTTGCTACTTCTACTTACACTTAGGTTACACTACACATACATGTACAAGCATATATATACACACCCCTCTGGGTTTTCTTCTATTTTCTTTCTAGTTCTTATTCTTGTTTATTTCCTCTTATCTCCGTGGGGAAGCGGAACAGAATTCTTCCTCCGTAAGCCATGCGTGTTCTAAGAGGCGACTAAAATGCCGGAAGCTAGGGGCTAGTAACCTCTTCTCCTGTATATATTACTAAATGTAAAAGGAGAAACTTTCGTTTTTCCTTTTGGGCCACCCTGCGTCGGTGGGATACGGCCGGTGTGTTGAAAGAAAGAAGAAGAAACATGCAAGGTTTCAGGTACATCTTGCTGCTTCTACGTACTTACACTTAGGTCACTGCATGTGCATAGACAAGCATATACAGTGGACCCCCGGTTCGCGATGCTATCGGTATCCGATAAATCCGGTAACCGATGCATTATATCGCAGAAAATTTGCCTCGCTTCCCGATACAAAACCCGGTATGCAATGTGGTTCGTACGAGATGTGTCCATGTGTGGCCTGAACTGCCCCGTGTTGTGCCAGTGTTTACAAGCCAGCCAGTGTGCGCGCATCAAGGATACATTTGGTACATTCCATATTATCCATATTATCACTGTTTTTGGTACCTGTTTTTGCAAAATAAGTCACCATGGGCCCCAAGAAAGCTCCCAGTGCCATCCCTTCGAGACCAAGGGTGCTAATGACTGTTGAAATGAAAAAAAAGAGATAATTGCAAAGTACGAAAGTGGAGTGCGTGTGTCGGAGCTGGTCAGGTTGTATAGTAAACCCCAATCAACCATCTCTACTATAGTGAGCAAGAAAACGGCAATCAAGGAAGCTGTTCTTGCAAAAGGTGCAGCTGTGATTACGAAACAGCGACCGCAAGTGTTAGAAAATGTTGAGAGACTGTTATTGGTGTGGATAAATGAAAAACAGATAAGCAGGAGATAGCATCTCTCAAGCAATCATTTGTGAAAAGGCTAGGCAGTTGCATGACGAATTGGTAAAAAAATTGCCTGCAACTAATGGTGATGTGAGTGAATTTAAGTCCAGCAAAGGTTGGTTTGAAAGATTTAAGAATCGTAGTGGTATACATAGTGTGATTAGGCATGGTGAGGCTGCCAGTTATGTTGTGAGACAGGAGTCCAGTGACTCTCAACCTGGTCCTAGTGGCATTAAAAGAAGAAGGGAAGTAACCCCAGAAAAGGACTTGCTACCTCAAGTCATAATGGAGGGGGATTCCCCTTCTAAATGCTAACACCATCCACACACTCCCCTCCTCCCATCCCATGAATCATCACCAGATCTTCATTAAAGGTAAGTGTCAATTATTCTTTCGTTATTTATTGTTATTTATTTATTGTTGTTATTGTAATTACTATTCTATTGCATTAAATTTAAATATTTCATGGGAAAAAATTTTTTTTTTCTATTTTTTGGGCTCTTGACGAATTAATTTGTTTTCCTTTAATTTTTTAGGAAAAAAAATTTGTTTCGCTTTCCGATATTTTTGGTTTTTACGATGAGCTCTCGGGTTTATTTCTTTTTCCTTATATATTTGTTTGTTTTTTTCTCCTTATCTCTAGGGGGAAGTGGAAGAGGTACTAAACTGCGGGGAGAAAGGGGCCTATACCCCTTCTCCTTTATTTTACAAAATTTTAAAAAGGGAAATTTCCTTTTATCTTTTTTGGGCCACCCTACCTCAGTGGGATATGGCCAATAAGAAGGGCAGGGTTTTTCAGTAAAGTGGGGTAAACCTCAGGATTAAAGTTTGGTAATGGTTTTCTAAAACTTTCATAAATGCCCTTGCCACTTCCCAACAGAACATAATTTCAAAAACAGCATTTCCTCCACTCACTCCTATCCAACTTTTCTAAAAGGCCCTGTTGGTGTGCAACCCCCAAGCCCCAAAACCTTTCCCTTTCCCCAAACCTTTTCTCAGATGCCCTTTCCCTTCTTCCCTCCACTCCCTTTTTGTGCCCCCCCGTATCCCGCTTTTCTTCCCTCTAGAATGTCCAAACCACCTCACAAAACCTTACTGACCTTCTGAATAATCTTTGTTAACTTAGCCTCCTATAATTTATATCTGGTGAGTTTGTTGAAATTTTCCTACATGGGGTGAGGCCTGCTTTAGTCTCCTCCTTTTTTCGTTTTATGTTCTAATCCACACCCTCCTAAACATCCTAGCAATCACTTCTTTTCAACCAAAAAAATAGGATGAAAAAGTAACAACATTTTTTTATACGTTCTTTAATGTTTTTTAGGAAAGCATTTGATAAGATATACATCAAAAATTTCTGCCTAAATAAAGGCTTTTGGAAACAAAATTTTAGTTGAATAAAAAAAATGGGCCCCAAATGGATATTTTTGAAAGGTAAAGAATTGAAACTGTCTCAAGTGCTAAACATAAGGAGATGACTCCCTCAGGATTTGTCCTTAGCCCAATTGTTTTTTTTCAATATTGTATACACAATATTGTATACAATATTGGTACTATTTTAACAAGGTGTGGATGTCACCGTGGTTTTTATATATTTAAGATGGGGTTGTAAGAGAAATAAATGCGGGGTCTTGGGAAGATGGGGGGTTAAAAGATAAAGAATCACAAAATGGGAGTTTCACAGTTTCCTTTGCTGATGACACTGTGCTCTTTGGAGATTTGAAGAGAAAAATTGCGGATTGGTGGATGAATTTGGTAGGGTGTGCAAAAGAAGAAAATTAAAAGTGAATACGGGAAAAAAGAAAAAGGTTTGAGGATAACAAAAGATTAGGTGATAAAGTTTGGGTTATCAAAATTGGGAGGGGAGAGTATGGAGGGGGTTTGAAGGGTATTCAAAAATTTTTGGGGGAGTTGACGTGTCAGGGGATGGATCTATGAAAGATGAGGTGAATCATAGATTGATGGGGGGAAAAAAGGGTGAGGGTGCATTTGGGGAGTGTGGAGACAAAGAATTTTTGCCCCTTTGGAGGAAAAGAGGGGTATGTTTGGAGTATAGCTTTACCAACGCTTTTTATAGGGGGTT